TAGAGACCCCACTCTCCCCCCCACAGGACAGACCCCTATGATGGGGGAGGGGATAGAACCCCACCCCCACAGCACTTTACCCAGGACAGACCCCAATGGGACGGGGGGAGACATCCCCTGGCACGGAGCCCTGGGGGGGGCACTCCCGGGCTGGGCACGGCAGAGACACAGCGAAGGGGCACCGGGGGGGGCAGCTCCCACCCCCCACAGGGCTCTCCCCGGGAGCGAGCGTTAGAACCCATCCCCCACACTTCCCCTGGGGGAGGGGGGGAGCGCGCAAGCCCCGCCCCGTGCGCCCCCCGAGAGCGCGCGGCGCCTCCTACCTGCATCGAATCCCAGCCCTGGTTCTTCCCCCTCAGCACCAGGCGCGCGTGCGCACTGAACTGCCGCCACCCCGGGCGCTCGGCCCCGCCCACGCTGCCAGAAGGGGGCGGGGAGGCCCACCGGGCCTGAGGCGGAGCCCGCGGAGGCCATCTTCACTCCGGGCAGACGAAGCCAGCCAGCCCCACCCTTCCGGCCATCTTGGGCGAGCGCTGTTTTTGAAGGTGGGGGGGGGTCTCTCAGCTGAGTGACATAGCGACGAGCCAGTCAGAAAGCAGCATACCTAATTTACATAGGCACGCCCCTAACCGCAGAGATCCGGATTCGGAATGGGGAGGGGTCTCGACAGGGGCCCTTCTAGCCGGGCCGCTCTCCCTCTCTATGGCCCGTGCGCCTGACCTGGCCCTGCTGCCACTGGGCCAAGGCCGCGAGACTGACAGCTGGCCTGGCCCGGCCCGCCCTCGAGTGTGACCTGCGGCCCTTCCCCCTCAGCCTGTGAGGCCTGGCCCTGCCCCTCCCCCATAGCCCTCAGCCTGTGAGGCCTGGCCCTGCCATAGCCCTCAGCCTGTGAGGCCTGGCCCTACCCCTGCAGGACATCTCCCCTCCCGCCCCCCATAGCCCTCAAACTGTCAGGCCTGGCCCTGCCCTTGTGGGGCCCTCTGGGACTATGACCCTGAGACTGTGAGATCCCACCCCAGCCTTCTACCCAGGGCAGGCGCTTCCACTGGGCAACCCTAGGCGGTTGCCTAGGGCAGCAGGATTGTGTGTGATCCCCACCCCAAACCTAGTATTTAGCAGTGACACTTTCCCAGCCCTGGAGAAGAGCTCGGTGAAAGCTTGTCTCTCTCGCTCACAGAAGCTGGGCCAATAAGAGATATTACCTCACCCACACGGTCTCCTTATCTCAAGAGTTATTATAGAGGGAAAAGAAATGGGAGTTATTTACAAGGCTAAAGCAGGTACCGTAAACCTATACACACACACACACACCTCCCAAGAGGCTTCTAGCTTCGCTTTCACACAGTAATAGAAGTTTCTCTAATAAGCAAACTCTATATGTCCTTTAGAGCTAACCCAGGCTCAACGCTGGGGATCTTTTGCTTATGATTAATAATTCTTGCCACAGCAATTCAAGCAGCATAAAGATACAGTTCCTCCTTAGTAGGGCCTTTCATTCCCTTCTCCCCCACCCCTGCAAACTCAGCTGATGGAAGGAATCCATTTGCAGACTCCTCTCCATTTGGGGAGGGGAGGGAAGAGCAATCAGCAAAGTCTTCCACATCTGGTGTCAAGGGAGCGGGACATAACACCTTTGGTTGGAGATCAGCCCTTTACACTAATTAATGTCTCTTTCCTGTCTGGTGGTTTACACAGTCAGAGAGGCTTGTTACACAAATGCTTAAACATTACCTTACAATGTGGGATACAGATGTTATAAGTGAGATTAATGTGTGCAGCAATTTATAAGCATTCAATAAAATCTAAACACTAAGCACATTTTTAGAATTCTAATACTTATTGTAACAATACCGACACACTGGTCAGAGTGGTTCCAGCTATGTATTTGTCACTGTTCCACAAAGGCCTGGGGTCCTTGGCATGAGCTGGCACCTGGTCTGCCAGCATCACATCTTCTACAGTGGGGAGCCCTGCTGGGGATCTTGTTCCCCTGAGACTCTATGTGAGATCCCTCGACCCCAATGCCTATCCCTTCCACCCCTGGGGCCATGTCCCCTTAAGACTGTGTGATCCCTAGCCCCCACCCCTTCCATCCCCAGGGAACCCAATTATGGCCCAAGTACCCCTGAGACTCTGTGCAGGACCCACAGCCCCTGCCTTCTCTTTTCAAAGATTTTCCTAATGCTTTTTGGATTTGTATCTCCAGAACAAGATCAGCAGACAGAGAGCCCAGCTGTGGACTGCAGGCCATTGCTGGTCTATGGAGCACATGCCAGTGGTCAGCATAGATCTGGCTGGTCACATTGTGCTGAGTCCAGCTCCTTGTGTCTAGCTGAGAAAGACAGAATAGATAGGAGACAGGTTGAAATGAAGAGCAAACACTGATGCCATGACTAGTTTTTCTGAGAGGTCAAAATACGTAGTGCATTAAAGACAGCTAAATACATTACCATTCTTACGGACATCACTTATTTTCCCATGCACTATCAGGGGAGACTCATGGGATTACAGTCTTGAGATGAATCAAGACTGGACACCTTTCTGAAAGAGATGCTTGAACCACATAGGAATTATGCATTAGTCAAATGTAAGTTATTACTCTCAATACAGGGATAACTGGATGAAGTTTAATGGGCCTGTATTATACAGGAGGTCAAACTAGATGATCATAATGGTCTTTTCTGGCCTTTAATTCTATGAACTACGTTTTTAAAACCTTCACAGAAACACTCTGCAGAGTTTCGAAATTATAAAGCAAATGTCAGAAAGTCTGGAAATGGGCTGATAAGGTATTCGTCAACATCACCAGCTTCAAACAACCATCACTGTCACACCACACATGGAAATTTACCTTTCCTCCTAAACTAGATCCATAAAATACACCAGTGTCTAATATAGATCAGCTATTCACCCTTTGCTCTAGCGATAGCTAGTCTGACCTATTTTTCTCATTAGCTACTCCAAATAGCCCACAAAAGCTTATGACCAAATAGATTTGTTAGTCTCTAAGGTACCACAAGTACTCCTCATTCTTTTTCCCAAATACTAAGATATTACTGTACTTGTATATTAATACTATTTAAAAAAACCCTTCAGGCCTCCTTTACTTCTCACAAAGAGACAACTAAAAGATGGGGACCCATTTTGTCCCCATGCAAGTCACCTTTATCTTCTCCCTACAGCAATTCATTTAACTGTTAATGGTATTCACCTAGGGAGGTGATACAGGAAGCTTTAATTAGTGTTTGTAAAGGGCTTTGCGAGCTTTAAAGTATCATCATCGTTTGCTTTATATTTCCTAGTCATTCTCAAAGCATTTTCTCATTTTATTATCTTCTGACATTCTATGAAATAGGATTACCAGCATCTTCACAAATAAGTTCTTTTTATAAAGTCACTAACCACAAAAGTTCAGGTATTTGCACTCAACAACATAATTCCAGATTGTGTAATTGAAGAGTGATTCACAGGCATACCTCATCAGACATTGAGATCACCTGTAATATTATAGAGCGTAATTTTATGTAAAAAGCCTCTATCACTACCATGTTTGGTAATTTGCCATATATAACATAAATTATTCAATTAGAACTAAAAAAGCAATTTTGACTCATAGCAGGACACAAGCTATCATTGGAAAGTTGTTTCTATAATATCAGTCAGGCCTGGTAATGGAACCATCACCTTTTGGGTTTTAACTTTATAGCTCAATTTATACATTTTAAACTAATACTAATATCCAGTTTGTTGTAAGATTTATTTATGGACAACTGGGATTGCAACATAATACTACAGGTGCCTACAATAGTAGCTGATAAGGGTCATTCCAATTGTAACAACTGGAATTATCACAGTGATTACAAATAGAAGCTGTGCTTCAGTGTTCACTGATTCTGACTGATAAGCTGGGGAGTAGGCTTGTTCTTCAAAGCAGTAAATGGTAATTTTTATTTAAAGTTTGCTCTTGATGCTGTTCAAAGTTATGATCTTCTGAGGAAGGATGCTAACTGTTTGTCTGCTGCCTTGGGAAGGGGTATGAAGTTTTAAGATGTACTTTCATAAGTTCTTATTTTTAAGAGAGTTTGAATGTATATAGAGGTAAGTAGTCTCCTTTCTCCTCTTCCCCCACCTGACTTCATTATTAACTTTTATTTTCATGTACTGTGACTATCTTAAAGGACAAAGAGTGCTTTTTTTTTTTTTTTTTTTTTGCTTGATCAGTTAAGTTATACTACTAACAGACAGCTAGCTTCTGTTGTATTTTATCACTTACATGCTATATGTAACTTTAAAAAGGCTCTTTTAGATGTTTAATTTTTTTGTTTTGAAGCTCTACTTGTAGGTAAAGAATGTCTAAGTATAGATTAATTGTAGGATTTTTAGTTCATCTAATGGTATTTTAAATCAGTAAGCAATTTAAGGGTGTGGGAGGGAGATTCTGATCTGAAACCAGAATCTGTCCAGCTGTTATCTACTTTTGATAGAGTATTTAACCCACTTTTTCAGTCTGAGAGTAGCTATAGTACTAAATAAATATCTGCTTCCACTTGAGGGAGGATAGAAAAAAGCAATAGATAGAAAAAAGTAAGACTGTTGAAAGTTAAAAGCAGTTTAATGCTGTGGCTTATTTAATGAACTGTACATTAACAATACATGTGTGCAGCTTCAATTGTATTACCTTATTTTAACAGACTGCCTCCCATTTACACTTATGTGAACTTAATCATATCTACCTAAAAATGTATTGGATTTGCTTAGCATAATCAGTATTTTCATGTACATAAGTGACCCAAAGCTTGAGTAAAAATTGGCAAATACTAACCAATAGCTCTTGTAACTCTTATCCCACAATAAGAGTGGCTTTTTCAGTTTAGTTAAACTCCATCCAAGACAATACTAACTATTCTTATTCCAAAATAAGTGTGTCCACATGGTGAGTTATATCAGTATGACACTGGTCAAAATTCACACTTTCACTTGTACCAGTACAACTTTCCTGTGTGAACAGTCCCTAATTCTGAAGATCACCTGAATATAAAATGTGCTAATCTTCTATTTAAAATGCCACGGTCATTGTCGCATTGGCCTCTGATGCAGAATTTTGTAAAATGTAAGATCTAGAGCAGCAGTTTTCAAACGGTCTGTCAGGACCCCAAAGTGGGTTGCAACCCCATTTTAATAGGGTTGTCAGGGCTGGCTTAGACTTACTGGAGCACAGGGCCCAAGCCCCACTGCCCAGAGCCAAAGCCTGAGGACGTTAGCCCTGGGCAGTGGGGCTCAGATTATAGGCCCCTTGTCTGGGGCAGAAGCCCTGGGGCTTTGGCTTTGACTCCCCTCCCCCACCCCGGCAACAGAGCTCGGGTAGGTTCA